AGATCTCCCTTTTTAATAGACGCAAAGCGAAATTCTACGAACAACACATACTACTGGCGTGCCTCCCCATCATTAGTATCACCGGTACACCACTATGTTTTGAGCAGCCTTCGGTCATCAGTATGTAAACACGGGCTACTTTATAATCCGAATCGAGAGGGTGAGATGACTAAAACGGGAGTGCAAACTGCACATTATTTTTTGACGTACTGAAAGGAGAGTTTATCGCCGCTGAAGAAAAACGAACTGGAAAAACGGACTATTTGTTATGGTTCCTACAATTGCAAGAGTAGTCAGCTGCAACTTGAGGCCTGTTTGGCAAGTTAACATGAGCTGATTTAGTTTCGCCCCCTGATCCAAGAATAAAACAATCTACCTAGTTCAGTCCATGGTAACGTTAGCTCACTTATAAAACGGGGTGTAAAAATAAGCTAAAGATGAAAGCCTTCGTGTGCACTGAATTCTCGGCACACCAGTGATACAGTCTTAGCTCCTAAGGCAGCTAATAGTGCCGAAATTTTCTTTTTGATGAAGCCAAACTCACTAAGATGATGACTGTGGTATCTAAGTTGTGGAAATCGGAACCAAAAAGAGCATGTCGCGGACCCGAGACAGAACGTATGTGGTAGCATGCTGAAATTGAAGCCTGTTAACGCAGAGGTATCGCAACGATCTGAACTTTCCAAGGTATATGAGGCTACTCTACATTTCAATTCCTTTCCGTACATCACTGATTAGTCAGTTCGTTTATAATCCTACTTGCTTTCCTCAGGTAAGGAAGGACACGGAGACGAACATACTTATTGTTTGACTGTATACAATGGCTTACAAATTAGTATTGTCACGATTTATCTGAAGTAACACGCCGCAATTTAACTAAGAATTAAGTCAAATAATGGGCGGGAAGTTGGAGCTGCAATGGGATTTCCTTTGGGTTCGATTTCAATAGACTCGATCGTAGGTGACCTTATCAACAAGCAAGGTCATCTGGCAAATCCCATCGAATCGTCGATACATGGGCGAAACATTTTTTACCAGCCCACCTGGCGGTCCAAACAAATTCACAAGTGAACTCACGCTCATGCAATATGACGGTTTTGTTCTACTTGAGCCGAACAACCATCTGAATAAACTCAATAGTTCTGAATATAAAAAGGCCGGTGTAACATCAAGCGAAGTGTTCACGGAAAGCAAAAATGAACTGGTTAGTACATCCAGCCCAATAGTTTCTTACCGGTGCAACTCAAGCGAAATTCAACCAATTGTACACCAACAAGTATATTCTCTGGATCGTACCAAGGATGAAACAAGAATTTTTAGAACACCTATTTATGCAAGACTTATGTACTGAGCAGTTCACAATGGGGACTTTTTGGTTTATAACAAAGGGGCACTAACTGCATCCTGATGGGGTAAACGTTCCGTTAAAAAAGCAACTGAGCGCAGAAGTAATTACTTGAAGGTTAAAGCACGATGGTGGTACGACATTGATGAGTGCCAACCCTGCTTGAATTTCAGGCCCAACCACGTCAAAAGGACCAAACGGTAATCTCCACCTTTTTTTGCATAGCCGGTTGCAGGCTCGTAGAGCCCATCAGACGTTGTTTTTACGAAGAAGCGCTTGTCAGGCAGAAGGTGTGAACAAAATCCTGGCTACATGAGCCATGTTGTGAGAGTGCCTCTCGCCAGTGCAGCTGTACACAACGATATCGTCTCCGTACACGGCAACATTATGGAGTCCCTTCGTTACAAGAAGCATCAAGTGCCGGAATGTGAATGATGCCCCAGACAAACCAAAGGGGATTCATCTAAATTGATATTGGGTTTCCCAACAGTAAACGCCGTTTTCTCCTGGTCCTCAATCTTGATTAGTAGTTTCCAATTTCCGGAATGCAAGTCGAACACAGTGAAGTATCGGGAGTGCTGGAGGGAATCGAAAATATCTGCAACCGAAGATACAGCCACAACCCGATTCACGGTCATTTCAGTCAAGCGCCAGAAATCCACACAAGACCTGTATTTTTCGTTCGTTTTCCTTACAAGGCCAACTAGGGAATCGTACGCCCTGTTGGCTTCTTCGAATATACCGTCCTTCAACATCTCCCAACTCTGTCTATGGACCTCCTCCCTTAGATGGAGCGGCAATGGACGTGGGCCGTAATGTCGAAAGCGTTCTGATAACAGGGGAAATTCGTGTTCATTCTGCGGACAGAAGCCAAACGGATTCTCATCACCCATAAGCAGTTCGGAATATTCCTCAACCACGGCCCGTATTGGCGATACATTACAAGACGGAAGTTTACGGCACACAGCTTCCTCGCGACGGTGCCTGAATAAATTTCAAGCTTGATTGCCCCATACTTTGTCACCAGCCTTCCCTGCTTAAGGTCAATCACGGCATCTGTGCCCTTGAGAAAATCAGCTCCCAATATTGTCTGCTCTACGCCTGGGCTGATCAGGAACGCGTGCTGCTTGTCGCTTAGGCGCATCGAGTGCGTTGACAGTCCGTCAATCTTTAATCGATATCCACCTGCAGCTCTCACGGGTAGCTCGCACTGTATGTGTTCAGATTGGTTCCCCCGTTGCCTCAGCGATACGCCTGCTCCGGTATCAATCAAACATAACTCATCTTTCCCGTCTACTTCGACAATGGCTTGTACGGTAGCTTGTGTCATTGCGCTAATCGCCCACCCAAGAAAAAAGGAGTACTCTTAAGTTTTATTGTGTACAAGCAATCGGTTACGGGGACATTGATTCTTCGAGTGGCCAGGCTTGCGACACATGTAGCACCGGCTGGTTGGAGCGTGCCTCAGCGACTCCCTCTTCACGGCCGCCAGCTTTTCGTTGAGTTGATCCACCCTGGTCTGCAGTTCCTCCACTGATGAACCATCGCTGTTCTCCTGCGACTGCAACATGGCCAGTGGTTCCTGAGGCAGCTCCTGAGCCGGACGAACCAGCTCCTCCACACTCAACTGGCCAGTCGCTCGTGCCAACCGCAACTGAGCACCCAGCGCGGGCTGCACACTTTCCACACACTGATCCGACAGCAACTGGTGTCGCGAAACTCCGTCCAGCGTCGGTAAAGTGCGATCCAACTACTGCTGCAAGCCGGCGAAGTACACGGTC